TTGATATTTGCTAGCAAAAATGTTCATTGAAGGCGTTAAGTGAATGGTTCCTTTTTCTTAACAACTTCCAAGTGCAAAGAAACGGCTCAGCAATCGCATCAGATAAATGGTCATGACCATGCTCCAACCGCCGTGAGGCCTGCCTGCGAGTTCTTCTGCGCGTTTGGGTAGTTGTCAAGGATACCCTTCCTTGCCAAGTGCAAGTGGCTCATGGTGGTTTTAGGGTCCACATTCGCCCAAGCCCAAGGTTGCAAACGACCAGCTACACTGCACTTCTTGCGAGCAAAGCTGCAAGTTGCACTGGAGTGATCCGTCGTCTCCGTCCAGGAGACGTCTCCCGGCCGCTGCGTGGGCATCCTCAGCGTTTTTGCGTCTCCAGGCTTCGCATTCTGCCAGGCACGAGACTGAACTGAGAGGAACCGCCACACAACACGACCCACTTTGGGAATTTGAGGTCCCTCCATTTCACAATTCAAAAAAAAAAGACTATCAATCTGGCCAGCTCTCGGGGGGAAGCTCCGGCTCTGGCTGTCGAAATGCACCGGGGTTGTGAACTGAAGCCTGTGTTGCAGTCGCATTTTGGTCATGCTTAAAAGCGCAAGGCCTGAATTGTCGACTTGAGAAGGGGATGTGAAACGCAATGCTTCATCCATGAGATCCAGCACCGCAAGCCCTGGCTAAGCCCTCGTGCTGTGGCTCTTGCATGCGCCGAGGCAAGCATGCCTGAACACATGGAGTCAAAGCAGCACACGTCTCACATCGGTTGAAGAATGGAGACGTCTCCCCACAAGCGAAACCCATTACGTAACGCGGTTGCAAAGGGTGCCACAAAACTTGGACATCCCGCAGTCAAACGCAGACGACTCATTTTCCGTTGAACACTCCAGGCGGCCTGTGCCACCGTTCAGGCGGAAACCTGAGCCGTCCCTCTTCCACTTGTGCATTGTCTGTCGGGCCTGAGTGGCATCCACAGCCCAAGTCGTGCGAAAGAGCAACGCGAATGGAACTGGAAGCAAAAGGAATACGTTGATCTATAGCCACCTATTAGCAGGGGGCGGGGGCCTCCCCAGTTGTAACTTTTCTAAGTTTCAAAGGACCCCTACAGAAAGGTTGACGTGAGATGATAGACATACTTGACGTTTATCAGCTTCCTCATGGACGAAATGCAAAAAAACGGTGGCCAAGTTTGACACCTCTGACCATAGGTATCCTTTTTGGAAAATAGATGGCCCTGGTAAATGGAATAAGACCCATCTAAACCAGTGGAACCCATCTATTTCTACTCAAGCTAACCGATCAAAAGGACGCCTCTAACAAGCCTCTCACACTTGTGGCCAGTCCACCGCCTGGGACACATCTGGCTGTGGGTCACAAACCGGTACCCAAAATGAAGCCCTGGAAAATGGAAACATGGACCAAAACCTGCGGTCCAATTCCTGGTGGCTTAATTTTGACCCATGCCCATCTTGGGCAACGGCTTGAAGTGCCAAGACCTCGTCCATCTTATCCCGCGGCTTCGTGCGCAGCAGCATGCGGCTGCCTCCACAGGCAGCTGAAACCCCTGGAATCTGCACGACACTGGTCCTCAGATCCCCCGAACAGTTTAAGTTGTGGGTTAAATGGAAACCCCGGAAACCCCCACCAAACACTAAAAAGCTAAAAAGCTAAGGGGATTGCTCCCAGCCGCCACCAAGGACATTCTGCACCTACACTTCCTTTCTCTCGCTCTATCTCTCTCTCTCTCTCTCTCTCTCTCTCTCTCTCTCTCTCTCTCTCTCTCTCTCTCTCTCTCTCTCTCTCTCTCTCTCTGCTCTCAGTATGCACCGCGGGCCTTCGCTAGGCTGCCGTGCGCGCAGAACGTCTGGCAAATTTGCGCTGCGAGCGAGTCTGCACCGAACCAACCACCCGTCCTGCATCCCTTTGAGCTTGCAGACGCGGATTCTTGATGTCTTTGATCCTGGCCGCACCCCTGGGACGTTTTGGACCCTTTTGGACTGCTTTGGACTGCTTTGGACTCCTTTGTATTCCATATAGGTGCCATGACACAAGTTATTGAAACCAAGACCGGCCAGGCAAAGCCGCCCCACATGTCCAGCCTTCGGACATCTTGCACTTGAAGTACGGGCGCCATTGCCCTGCAAAAGAGGGTCACCTGCACAGCCGTGGGGACCACCAACAATGTCGCCCCGGAGAAGCCCCAACATTGGTCCCGCGCACAGGGCTTCGGGCCTGGCCATCGCGTGCCCCTGGCCGCGCAAGGCCTGACCCCAGAAACGCAAGACACGGAAACGAAACGCTGCTTCGCGATTGTCGTGGCTACGTGAAGGAGAGACTTTTGGAGGTCGAGCAGCCCCCTTTTTGAATGGTTCATTACACCTGAGCAAGTCGAAACTAAACTCGCGCCCCAGAGACCAAGCCCGCAAGGCATCCTGCCTTTAGCCGATGCGGGGCAGTGTTCAGGGCAAGGAGGCTCAGCTTGAGCCAAGCCGACACCAGCGTCAGGCCGCGAACTGCACGCCACAAGCCGATTGCTTGAGGTTTGAGCTTAAACGCGCCCCCTCCCCCTCCGCCAAAGCAAAGAGAAAGAAAGAAAGAGCATCCCGAATCTTAGAAAAGATGACACAGCTCCTTGAATCACCGCTCCCAAACGGCACCTTTTTCACCTCAGTCCCACATGTTCGGCACCTCCTAGCAACGGAGGCGTACAGCTGAAAGCTTGGCACAGCTTGAATAACCACCTGGAAAGTAGGGAACATTTGCCTGTGGGCGGGGCCTCACTGTGTCTTGGGAATGTGCCCTATATGCTTCTTGATCTAAGTTCTTCAGGCCACAGAGGTATCGTAGGTGCCGACCCCTCAGACTCCGGCCCTCCTTGACCACTCGAGTAAACATTCATCAATGAATTCCGGCAAGCCACTGACATTCAGGGCAACACGTGTACAGCCATCTGCGGGTTTTGGCATACATTTCAATGCTGGCACCCCGCTTTGTGTAGGGAAACCAGCAGGAAACCAACGTAGGACGCCAAAAGAAAAAAGAGAAAGAGCATCTGGACGAATGACGTGTGTCTCAAAGGAATCGGACACGAGCCGGCCCTTTGGTTTCCCTGGGGCTCGGTACACTCCGCCACTCCGCTGACGTCCCGCCTCTGGGAAGGCCCCTGGGGTGTCCACTGGCGCTTGCAGCGGCCCGCGGCCCAGTCGCCACAGCCGCGCAACGACCTCGCCCGACCTCAAGGGGGTTCACCATGCGCGCAGCCGTTGGCCCAAAACAGAATTTGGGAGTGTGCTCCTCTCACTCGGAACCTCCCTCTCCAAGCCCGTAACCCAAGTCAACTGCTTTAAACCCAGCCTCAAAACGCGTATCTTCTGCCTAGGCGAAACGCCCCAGCCTCAAGCCTTCGGCTCTTAGGATATGGCCTCAGGCAACGAGGCAGTCGGGCTGTGAACAGCTAGGGCTATTGACTCCAACTTGGCCATGGCTTCCTTCAAACGTGTGTCTTGTGCTGGCTGTTCTTCTGGTTTCACTTTAAAGCCAACCAAACACCTCTGTGTGTTCTTCCTTTTGGCGTCCCTTCTGGTTTCCCTTCTGGCTTCCCTTTTGGTTTCCCTTTTGGTGTCCTTTATAGCCAACCAACAAGGGGTTGCCTTAAAGAAACCACCGAAACATGCCACCGGGATCTCGGGTCACGGCCTTCCGCGTCCAAGTCCAGCGTCCAGAGCGTGGTGCGGTTCCAACGCGCCCGGCACCGCACCTTCCCGTCGTCCAGCTCCTCCATCGAGAAGCAAACACGGGTGCGTCTTTTTTGTGGGTACCCCCGTTGGCTTTTAAAGGGAAACCAAAGGAAAAACAACTCTCCCCATATTTTAAGACACATCCACACGCCAAAGGGCAGACCCATATCCACTTTCGCAGGCAGGTGACTTGAAGCCGGAAGAAAGCCAAGGTGTGAACGCACTCAGTAACTCCCAGTTCGTGAAGAATCGAAAGATATGTGATACGTGTAAAACATCTGCAACTGCTGTTACCCTGCTGTTGATCTAATTGTTGGAATCGATTGATCGGGGGGAAGGCAGAGAAAGGAGAGGAGGAGGGAGAAGAGATGCAATTTCCAAATTACTTGCAAAAGCAACAGTCCTGGATTGCTGGATATCTGATGCTGGCGGCCTTTATTGTGGGGGGAGGGGGGAGGGGGGGGTGGCGGGAAGTATTTCTAATGGGCTTCGTTTTGTTTCATGTTTTACTTGATGTTTTGAAGACTTGGCCAAGGGGTGTTGTGGGATGCTGACCAATCTGGAAGCAATGTAGAGACTTCCATAAAGCAATGAATAACTCACTTCCGATCGACTGGATGGCCCAACAAAAGGTAACCAAACTTGTTTGTTTGCTACCAAAAGGGTCCAAACCCAAGACGCATAAAGTCCAGGAAAGCGGGAAGTAAGACAATAAATGTCCTAAATGTCCAGAGGAACATGACGTGAGCAATGCCTTCCAAATCTGGACTGTGCACGGTTTGTTTCAGAATGGCATGCTTGCTTTCAAGGCGGTGCTGTCGGAATTTGTGCGCAAGGGCCTGGGCATGGAATACCTCCGTGTGCTCTGTTGTAATGTGGGGGGGTCTGAAAAACAATGGATCTTTGCGTTTGCTTGCTTGGCATGCAGGATTAAATTACAAGTAGTATTGTGCAAATTACAACTAGCATTCAGCTTTTCAAGTGCCGGGGTATGAACTAGCTATTATTCACCAGTAGAGCCATAATTGTCTTTATCGTTATGTTTGGTTTTTCTTTCTATCTTCTTCTGCCCTTCCTTCTTGATCTTCATCGTTTCTGTCTTTCCGCCGTTATTTCGTTCTTCTTCCTTTTTTGTTCTCTTCGTCTGTTTCTTTTTCTGCTGTTCTGTTCTTTCTTTATTGTCTTTCTTTGGTTCTTTCTTTTCCGGGGATTGTTTATCGGGTCCTCAGATGCTAGTACTTCAAGTGCTACCAGTGTTGCTGCTGACTACTACTATTATTACTACTACTACTACTACTACTACTGCTACTCCTCCTACTACTACTACTACTGCTCTGCTGCTACTACCGCTGCAACTCCTACTCCTACTCCTGATCCTGCTGCTGCTGCTGCTACAACTACCACCACCAGTAATGATTGTCATGACAATCATGAACATACAACACATTGCAAGGATACACATCTAATACATACATGTACATACCATGCCAATAATCATTCTAGTCAATGCTGTTAATCATTTGCCCCTTGGGTTTGCTAATAAATCCAGTCCTCGTTGTGTATCAAGGGGTAGCTGGCCGCCACAAGCGATGCAGGCACCTTTGCCATTCGAGGCCATTCTGCAAATAGTTCAGGTCTTGTCTTAGGATTGGGACCCCAAAAAATGACTTCGGTGTTCTTCTCTCGCTGTCCCTTTACCACCAAAGTTTTTGGGGTCACCCTCAAAACAAGACGAGGCATCCATTTCCCACAACAGCACGCAGAGTCACGTCTCTCTCAAAGCTTGGAGCCTCAGCCACTGGCGAACTGCTTCGTCCTGTGGCTCAAATGGCCGGTTCTACTTGGGAGTGGAATTGGTCGACCAAGTTCTTTGGCCCCCCCCAAAAAAAAGGAAAGGATCAACATCCACCATGGGCCCAAATCCTCTCCCCAATTCACAGCCACTCAGGGATGGCCTTCTTGCCAAACGCTTCACCGCGGGCCTTTTTCGGAGCCGCCCCGCCCCGCCTCTCAGAGCGCACTTCCGGCGCGCGGCGAACTTGGGGCCGTACCAGAGCTCCAGCACTCGCCGCGGCGCCTTTCTTGAAACTCGCCCCAAAGAGTCGGCGGCCTTGGAGGTTGTCACAACTGGGGGTCAAGGTCCAAAAGGAAACCAACAAATCAACCGGGGGGCCTTTAGTTGGACACCCATTGGACTCAAAACCCAGGTCACAGGCGAACGCCAATTGTGTGTTTGCTTGGATGTTCAGCAAAACCCTTTTGGGAGTGAAACTGGGAGGATTGTTCCGCATGGAAGCTTTCCTTTAGTTTCCTTGCTTCCGTCCTGGAAGGATCCCGCTACTTCGACGCATTACCAGCAAATTGCACCGAATTCCCTGGCGGGCCGCTTTTGCTTTTCTTGGAAGAGCTAAGCCTCTTATTTTGGGCAATCCTTCAAAACACATGAACCCTGTCTGCATCACTTGCCTCCGGAGACGACTCTTCAGCTCATGTTCAATGGAGACTGTTACTTTCGGAGAGCCGGCGCCTCACAGGATTTCTTGGGTTGAAGGACTGAAAGGAACGGAAATACGTTTTCCCATTCAAAATGGCCTGCCAGGTTTTGACAATTCTGCCGAACCAACTCATTATTGAAAGAAGGCTCTCTTGACATTACATGTGCATGCACCCAATATTTGGGAGAAGTGATTAGGAGGGATGCGAGGAGAGCAGGGATTAGGAAGCCCCTAATCCATAGATTGTACTATTTTGTTCTGAAAGGAATACCTTCCACATCCCGATGGATTGGTAGCCAGTTCCACTTCCTGCAGACCAAAGTCTGAGACGCAAGAAAATTGCATCAGGCAGGCAAAAGAGTGTAAACACAGTGAGTCCGTGCCGTTGCATTGGCTCATGCCTCCAAGTTGGTTCTGACATTCAGAAATAGGGGTCCAAAATAAAAACCCTGGTACATGGACAGGTAGACTACCTGCGTAACCCCAGCTGTTAAATTTTGAGCCACACATGTTCCGTTCGCCGGATTCTGCGTCGCCTGCGGCGCCGGCAGCAGCCAATCGAAGAAGCGCAGGCGCCTAGGCGGCAGCAGCAGGGGTAGCGGCAGTACCGCGCTATCTGTCCAGGCGTGGCCTTGGCTTCCAGTCGGATGCATTCCTACTTAAATTTCGAAATGATTCATTTTCTGGATAAAAGAGCAAGCTTACTCTGCCAGTTAGTATCTATTTAGTTTACACGCTTTGGGTGATGTCCAGAGGACAACTCCAAACCAATGGTACCATGATTGGGAGTTCTTGCAAGTATATCCCCTGATTTGGGTATGTCCCTGCTCCCCCTGAGACATGGCACATCGCTTCTCGATGACCCCTCCAGAATTGCTAGTAGGCGATTCACAACCTTCTTGCAGCTAGCCGCCATTGGCGCTCCACCAGTGCTAAACAATCCAAAATACAACAATTCCCTTGCACGAAATGGTCATGCCACACTTAGAGTCCTGCATTGGTACGTTTCAGATTAGACAGTGGGTCGCACCTGCACTCCTAAGAACCATCAAGGTCGAACAAGAAACACGAGCCAACCTCCTTCTGCCATCGCATGTTTATTTGTTAACAAATCAAAAACGTATTATATAGCTATCAATTCTGGCCTAGCTAAACATATATGCTGATATACATCATATCCTAAAGGTCACCATTATATATTGTAAAAAAAGAAGAAAAAACGAACCCCCCCTATTCAATTCCCCCAGTTTCCTTAAAGTTTCCTTTTAAACCAACTCAAAAAAAAACAAAATCCCCCCAAAAAACAAAAATGCTCCCAAAAATGTATAGTTCAAAAATAAATACCCATGATCAAAAAAAAACTAGCAAATAAACACAAGGACTAACACCTACGGTCTAGTAGCTAAATTTTACACCATACCCAGGTTAATCAGTCACAAACCTATTGTAACACTCCTATAGCACTGCTAGTAAAAAAAAGTAAAGGGGAGGGGTTCTGGCTAAGGGATCAAAAAAAATTAATTCAGGATCAAAAAAAATTAAATTCTGTAGTAGTAGTAGTAGTAGCAGTAGTAGTAGTAGTAGTACTAGTAGTAGTAGTAGTAGTGGTAGTTGTAGTAGTGATAGTAGTGGTGGTAGTAGTAGTAGTAGTAGTCGTAGTAGTAGTAGTAGTAGTGATAGTAGTGGTAGTAGTAGTAGTAGTAGTAGTAGTAGAGTAGTAGTAGTAGTAGTAGTAGTAGTAGTAGTAGTCGTAGTAGTAGTAGTAGTAGTAATAGTAGTGGTAATAGTAGTGGTAGTAGTAGTAGTAGTTAGTAGTAGTAGTAGTAGTAGTAGTAGTAGTAGTAGTAGTAGTAGCAGTAGTAGTAGTAGTAAGTAGTAGTAGTAGTAGTAGTAGTAGTAGTAGTAGTAGTAGTAGTAGTAGTAGTAGTAGTAGTAGTAGTAGTAGTAGTAGTAGTAGTAGTAGTAGTAGTAGTAGTAGTAGTAGTAGTAGTAGTAGTAGTAGTAGTAGTAGTAAGTAGTAGTAGTAAGTAGTAGTAGTAGTAGTAGTAGTAAGTAGTAGTAGTAGTAGTAGTAGTAGTAGTAGTAGTAGTATAGTAGTAGTAGTAGTAGTAGTAGTAGTAGTAGTAGTAGTAGTAGTAGTAGTAGTAGTAGTAGTAGTAGTAGTAGTAGTAGTAGTAGTAGTAGAGTAGAGGAGTAGTAGTAGTAGTAGTAGTAGTAGCAGTAGTAGTAGTAGGTAGTAGGTAGTAGGTAGTAGGTAGCAGGTAGTAGGTAGTAGGTAGAAGTTAGTAGGTAGTAGGTGGTAGGTAGTAGGTGGTAGGTAGTAGGTAGTAGGTAGTAGGTAGTAGGTGGTAGGTGGTAGGTAGTAGGTAGTAGGTACTAGGTACTAGGTAGTAGGTAGTAGGTAGTAGGTAGTAGGTAGTAGATAGTAGGTAGTAGGTAGTAGGCCTTCACGGCTGACTGCGTTTAGAGTTCAACATGCCGGCGCCCAGCTCTGCCAAAGTGGTGAGCAGGGTCTGCTGCACCCCACCACCTGCGCCAACAAAGGACAATGATTGTCAAAGGCTGGCCCGCAGAAGGGCAACACAGCGTGACATCCTCGAAATGCAAGGCGGCCCTATTGCCGCTGCCCGTCGTGATCACTCACAGAGGTACTAAGCCACAACCCGGTGAATCTAAAGAAGGTGCGCTGTCCATCCACTACCTTCCACTCACCCTCGTGAAGTTAGGGTGTTGGCAGCAGCTCGCACCAACTTCTTTCGAGCCACCCTGCAACAGGGTCTAGGCTGGTAGGTAGGCCGACACCGCCTGTGTGTATGTATGTATGCATGTACGCATGCATGAATGTATGTATGTTTGTTTGTTTGTTTGTTTGTTTGTATGAGTGTGTGTGTGTGTGTATGTATGTATGTATGTATGTATGTATGTATGTATGTATGTATGTATGTATGTATGTATGTAATGTAATGTATGTATGTGTATGTATGTATGTATGTATGTATGTATGTATGTATGTATGTATGTATGTATGTATGTATGTATGTATGTATGTGTGTGTGCATGCATGCATGCATGTATGTATGTGTGTGTGTGCCTGTTTGCGTGTGCATTTATGTGTGTATATGCATGTATGTACGTATGTACGTATGTATGCATGCATGTGTATGTAGTATGTAGTATCTAGTATGTGTGTGTGTGTATGTTGGTAGGTAGGTATGTACGCGTGCGCGCAGCCATGCTGATCGGACTCCGTGATTCCGTGATTGATCTCAACGCGACCCCCCCCCCCCAAACTGTGCTGGATTGTTAAGTGGCTAACTGGCCCTCCCCCCGATTGCTAACTTGTTAACTTCCCCCCCCCTGCTAGATTGTTAACTTGCTAACTGGCCCTCCCCCGTGGCTAACTGGCCCTCCCCCCGATTGCTAACTTGTTAACTTCCCCCCCCCCTGCTAGATTGTTAACTTGCTAACTGGCCCTCCCCCCCGATTGCTAACTTGTTAACTTGCTACCTGGCCTTCCCCCCGGAAGGAGTGCTGACTTGTCAACTTGCTGACTTCCGCCCCCCCTCGCCCCCTCCCCTCCGACTTTGCTAACTTGCTAACTGGCCCTTCCCTCTCTCAGGATTGCTAACTTGCTAACTTGCTAACAGACCCTCGCCCCCCCCCCCCCCGAAGGATTGCTAACTTCTGAACTTGCTAACTGGCCCTCCCCCCCGAAGGATTGCTAACTTGTTAACTTGCTAACCCCCCCCCCCGACTTCACTAACTTGTTAACTTGTTAACTTGCTAACTGGCCCTCCGCCCCGAAGCATTGCTTCGCTAACTTGTTAACTTGCTAACCCCCCCCCCCCCGCCACCGACTTCACTAACTTGTTAACTTGCTAACTGGCCCTCCCCCCTAACTTGTTAACTTGCTAACCCCCCCTCCCCCCCTCCGACTTTACTAACTTGTTAACTTGCTAACTGGCCCTCCCCCCCCCCGAAGGATTGCTAACTTGTTAACTTGCTAACTGGCCACCCCCGGTTGGCCCTGGGGCCTACGTGTGTGTGCTTGTAAAACGGTTTAATTTTTTTTTGATCCTGATTTAATTTTTTTTTGATCCTGAATTAATTTTTTTTTGATGCGCATGCCAGGGGTTCTACTATCTTAATATGTGTGTGTGTGTCAAAAATAAGTATCCAAAACATAAAACCCTAGTAAATAAACAAAACAATCCATGCGGTCCCCTGGTAGTTTTATTTTGAACCATACGTCCTTTCACCCAGCCACTGCCGTTGGCCTTGGCCAAGAATGCGTCCAGCTGCACCGGGTCGTCCCGCGCGCCGCTGTGCAACCGGAAGGTCACTGCCGTAGCCAACCAGAGCCCCACCTCTCAAAAGAGGGAGACCGCTGCCATAATACTTGGTTTGACGTTGGAAGGGGAGCAACAAACATATTGTTTAGCAGTGCGGGATTTCCCGCTAAACACAATAAGCAAGAATGTGCTTGTTTTTGTTTCCCCAACAACAACCACGAATATGGGTCTGTGCTTTTTGAGGGTGCCAGTGTGGGGCGTGGTTCAGAAGGAAACCAACAGGAACACCTATTTTGAGACAAACCCAAATGTCGAAAGATGTCGAAAGCGGATGGCCCAGAGCGGCTCCACGCCAGCCCGGAACCCTCCGAAACCTTCGGAAACCTTCGCAACACTCGCTCCCCCGAAAATCCTGCCAACCCCCCCCCCCCCAAACCGCTCGCCCTAAGGAAAATGGTGTAGTTGGCCTTCAACACATGGACATCTAATGTGTGGACATGTGCTTTGCTCAGCTGCTAAAATCTGCCCAAAAAAAGCTCCAGATACCTCCAGAATCCCAATCAAAACCTATCAAATTGGATAAATCTGTATAAGGGCCACACCTACTACCTGGGACTGCCCTCACTGCCCTTCCACGTTCTGATTGTGCCATTCTGACCCCACACATGCAGTCTCTCTTCGTTTCAGGACAGGCATGCAAAAGAGCAGGAACTTTGTTCGGGCTGAACTTTGAAAAGGGACCGATATGAATCCAAACTTGGGTAGGGTGAGTCACCAGTTCTGACACATATCTGGGTAGTATGGCCTTTGGTGGACATCATTTAGGTGGGGATTCATGTGCACCAATCACTTTTCAGGGGTTCCCCATTAAAACTCATAGCCATATCGGCATCCAACATGCCCCTTGACTCCCCTCTAATCAAACGATAGGCCTGGTCCCTGTGCTCGTGCACGTCGTAACGGAGGGCACCCACTGGCGTGCCCTCGTAGATTTGGAAGCTGCTTCCTTAGCTTCGACAAAAGCTCAGGCCACTCCCGGCGATCAAACGCACGCTTCCGAGCTGACTGGAGACTTTTTGGGGGGCCAATTGGCAGATTCCTTGACCTACCCACCCACCCAACCACCCACCCATGCAAAAACCACCAAACGTCCCAACTTGGACCCGCTGGCTCCTGAATTCGTCCAATTCGCCCGGCGTCGACACCCGCCGGGACTGGGCGAGCCAATCTTCCGCGCCCAAAACCGCCAGCAGCCGCTGGAAGTCCTCGGCGAAGAGCAGGATGTCGGCCTCCTGTCTCCCAAGGAGTTGGTGCTAAAACCTCAAATGGCTGTGGCTCAAAAATATGTTCCCAACGTGGAATCCTGGTAAATAACATGGACCAAAACCTGCGGTCCAATTCCAGGTGGTTTAATTTTGACCCATACCCAAATGCATTGGCCACCATGGTCCCATGCTAGGGATCTTCTTTCCCGGCGGGCCAAGCCACAGGTCTCACAAAAAGGAGCACCGAAGGTGTCTCCACAGAGCTAGAGGGAATCTATTCTTGACGAAGACCTGGAGTGGTGAGAACTGGTCTGTGGAGGACAGGGACTTTTGCTGGCTGGGACTTGGGACTGGGCTTGGATGACTGCGAACTGGGAAGCTGGTGGTGGGACTGGGACTGGCCTTGACTGGGAACTGGGGACTTGGGAGTGCGCGGACTGACTGGGGACGGCAGTGGCAGGACTATGAACCAACTGGTAGGACTGAAGGACTGAGGACTGGTAGCCGGGGGCTTGGGGCTTGGGGCGGGGGGCGTGGCCAGACTTGGCGCCTGGCCGCGCGGCGCGCGCCTCGTCCCAGGGCACAGGGCCGTGGTGCAGCCAGGCGCCCAGCAGCGAGCCGTGGCTCAGCAGCCACCGCGCTTTGGCCAGCCGCAGCAGCTGCGCCACCTCCCCGACTAGCGCCTGGTAAAAGCGGGGGTGGCGGGTTTGCAGCCGCACGATATTCAATGGAGGGAATACCACCCATTTTTGGCGGTCCGGGTCCCTATTTGACGCATTGGATACATGACCTTAGATGGCTCAAAATATACTTTATGGAAGGGGAATGGTTGGCTCAGTCCTGCTCCACTCGGAAGCCCTATCCAAAATTCAATAACAACCATGCAGCATGATCCTGGACGGGGTGCCCTAAAAGACAGAAAGCCACGTCTTCGCCTTTGGGCCTCAATCCGCAAAAAACTTGGACAACTTCTAGTGGAGAATTGCCTCTTGGCAAGCACGCTCTTTGGTAATGACCCCATCTGCAAGACTAGCCCAAGAGAAAAGCATGTGTAAAGCTTTATTGAGCGACTAAATAGGGATGACCATAAGTACTACATTGACACAACTATTCCTCCTGGGTAGCAAGAATCCATTGGACCCTCTCACATCACAATGGTTTCATGCCAGTCTCGTTTTGAAGAAAGGTTTGCCGGCTTTGACAATTTGGCAAGAAATGCTACCCACGAGGTTGTTTCCATGAATGGGGACCCCTTTTGGATGGCTTGTTGAAGGAAACTGATTGAAAACAGCCATATTCAGAGTTGACACACCCGTGCTTCCCCGAGCCCTCATTGTTTCTCGGCTAGCAAACAACTCTGAGCGCTTGGTTTCCCTGGCTGTGTCTAGGTATCGGTGTCCTTTTCAACCCTCACACAGGTTGTCCATCTGAGCCTCATGGACTTTCAGTCGCCTCCAAAACTGGTGTGGGACCTTTCTTGGGCGGTGATCAGCGGGTTGTTTGATGGGCCAAAGGGCCAAACCGACCCCATTTCAGTGGGAAACTTGCTTCGTTATTTTTTCGCCCTGGATCGCAAAAAGGGCTCTTGCCGCAAAAGTTCTCGAACTTTCTGCGGGCAAGGGGGAGAAACTATCTATGTATGCATTTATGTACATGATATGTATATAACAGTTATGATATATTCATAATATATATATATATATCTATCTATATACATACATACATATACACATACATATACACACCTATATACTATATACATATTCAAAATCCAACCCAAAACCATCCGGCCCACAGGTCCAGCAAAAAGAGTCGAGTTGGCTCGGCCTGGAGCCGCAAGAGGTCCGCCAGGCCCACGGGCGCGCAAACGGTGCCGCCATCCTGCTGGCTCCACGCCGGTTTTGTCCAAAGGCTCTGCAGCTCCAGGAAGGAGCCTGGTGGAAAAACACCAAAAATCCAGCGGTTGATTGCCCAGTCTTTTCAGTCATCGTTGTTTTTTTCAAAACCCAGTCATTTGTCCAGCTCTTTTGGTTTGCCAGAAAGAAGGATGGGGAAGCTACCCCTAGAAAAAGGCGTCGCCAGATGTGACATGAGGTCTGAGGGAAAGCTCGACTCCCAAACGTCCGCCAAACCCGGAAAGAAACCCCCGCGCCTTTCCGTGGATAGGTTGGCCGCTCCCAGTTGTCCAAGTCTCAATGGGGTCTTGATCTGTCAACTGAAGGCAAGCCAAACACTTCGGACACTTTTGGACATGGCCAAAGGATCCCACGAGGGCAGCTGAGTTTTGGATTTGGTGATTTGTGGGTTTGTTGATCTAGCTCTTAGTTGCTTGCAAACCCATGGAATGCACAACTTCTCAGGGACGCCTTCACGAGATGCTCATCTCGTCCCCATGTACCTCTGGAGCCAACCTCTGTCAAGTCTCGCCCCAAAGAAGGGCTTCGTTTAGTTCTGTTTGGAATGTTTCACGTCTCAAACAGCCGCGTGAAACTGCCATTTGCACATCTCTGGGTGCTTACAGGCCCCTCAAAGCCCGCCTGTTTGCACCGCAAGGCAGGTCTTGCTTGCAAGCAGCCATGCCACAGCCAAGCGCATCTAGAGCGTTTCAGAACGAGCTGACAGGCATGCAATTTCCAATGAGCTGAGTTATTCAAACACACCAGTCTTTGCAAGACAGCCAACAGGAAGCCCATCAGTCGGAAGATTCGTTTGCTTCCGGACAAAGCCACATAGTCTAAATCTACACAGTCAGGGTCAATCGCAGTAGGTGCTCCACTTTAAAAATGGCAACGCATGGCAACGCAAAGCACCTCACAGAAACTTGGGCTGTGGATGCTTCCTTGAGCCGTGCTCGCAGCTCAATCAGGTGCGTCCAGGTGCCCTGCGAAGCTGTCGAATGATCTGTGCTGTCCAGCTGCACATGTTGTCTGAGCAACGGACAACGTGGGTATGGGTCAACATTAAACCACCAGGAATTGGACCGCAGATTTTAGTCCATATTTCCATTTACCAGGGTTCCATTTTGCGTACCTACTTTTGACTCACAGCCACATAGCCTATGGTTTAACTTGTGAAAGGACGTGGCCCAATCTCTGCTTCTTCCCTACAAATAGGGGAGAGCACTGTCGAAATGCGGCAAACCAAAACCCCTGGGCATGGCCCGGTGGCACTCGCGAGCTCCCAGCCCTTTTTCTCCATGGCTGGCATTCACTCT